ATCTGCGCTGGACCCCCTCCCTGGCGCGCGGAGCGTGCCAGGGGCGGCGCCGGAGGCGGCGCCGAAGGCGCCGCATCGGCGCCGCGCCAGAAGAAACAAACACACCAAACGACAAGGCACATCTAGGGAAACTGATGCCCTGCGTGTGGAGATTATTAACGAATATGGTGTTTTGGCTCACCCCCTCGCCTCGCCTCGCCTCGCCTGTCGTCCCTGCCGGTTGTGCGTCACTCTCCGTCCTCTCCCCTCTCTTTTTTCGATGCCTGACTATTGACGCACCACCAGCAGAGACCATTCATGCGTAATTCGTGTGGCTATTTGTCCGGGGTGGAGGAAAAGAAGGAACTGTTTGAGGTCCGCGCGGATCTCTTGGATCGGCGGTGAACTCCCTGGCGCACGGAGTCGCAAGGGGCGGCGCAGCAGGCGCCGCCAGGGCGCTCCAGCGCAGATCCAAGAGATCCGCGCGGAGCGTCGAGAGTTCATATGTATGCAGATTTCTGTCCCACATAGACGGGAGAAGAAACCACCCCCATAATCACCACCCCGACAAGCGAAGCCGTTGAGTAAACGCACAGGGCAGGGCAAGCCGAGGAAGGAATCGAACAGGCCAGGGCTGTTTAGTGAACGCCCAGGGCCGCTTAGTGAACGTCAATCTTCGGGTCCGGGTGGTCTTTCCTCTCTTGACCTCAGGACAAGAGCTTCCCGGCAGGGGCGGATTTGGTTCAGGGGGGGAAGCCTACACATCTCGCCGCGTCGCGAAAGAAAACACAGCGGGAAGTTGCTGTATGCATTCGGCCCCTGGGGCCTTCGACGGGCCCCGAGCCCGTCAAAAATCTGCGCGTATGCTTATGTTGCTCCTATCGTACTTAAGGACCACATCCCAGAACTAATTTCGAGCACCTGCAAAAGTGTCGAAAGAGTGTCGAAACAGTGTCGAAACAGTGTCTCCCAAGGCCCGACACGTGAAAACCCTCGAGTTTAGGGGTACTTTCCTGGTGCTCGAAATTCTCTCTGGCGATCAAGGCTAAAGTAGGTTGGAGCATCCTAAGCGTATGCAATTGTTTCCCTTTCGAACTCCTCTCGGCGGCGAGCGAGGGGGGAAGTGAGGAGGAGAAGCTCCTCTCAGAAGGACGCCCGAACCTCCCGAGAAGGCCTTCGCCTTCTCACTGCCCCCCTCCCCCGCCGGGCAGATCGGGCCAGGCTTCGCGGCAGACCCTCCGCAGGCCCTCCGCGGAGGCGAGCGCCTGCTGCTCCCGGGGCCGGCGATGCCGCCAGCTCCGTCCTCCACCCCCTCCCTTCCTCCCTCCCGCCCGCCCTCCCGCCCGCCCTCCCCTCCCTCCCTTCCACCCCCTCCCTTCCTCCCTTCCCTCCCTTCCTCCCCCTCCCTCCCGCCCGCCCTCCCCCCGTTCCTCACACCGCACACCCACATCGGAGTGAAGCTCCGGACTGTCAGCCTCAGTGGAGACGGCAGTCCGCCGACCCCTTGGGGTCATCGGCGTGTGAGATGCTTCCCCCCTCCCCAAACCCCTCCCCCCGGAGCCTGGTCCGGTCGTTTTGGAGGGGGGGGGGGGGGGGTCCGGCCGGATTCCCCGGGATCCGCCGGCGCGGTCCGGGGGGGGTCATCCGCTCCAGAGAGTCTGCTGGGGGGGCCGCAAACGAGCGAAGAGGCTCCCAAGAAGCTCTGCAGACGGTCCAAGAGGGCCCCGAGTCGCCGAAAAAACACTCGAAGACGGTCAAGATGGCCTCCAGATGGCCCCAGATGCCTCCAAGACGCCCCAAGAAGCTTCCAAGACGCCTCCCAAGATGGCCCCAAGAGGCCAAAATCGTCGATTTCCATTGGTTTTTTCAACGTTTTTGGCCTTCGCGTTTTTTCGGGCTTCCGACGCTCCAAGACGGCGAAAGAAGCCCCCAAGACGGCATCAAGACGACCCGAGAGGCTCCCAAGTGGGCCCCAACACGGCCCAAGAGCGCCTCAAAACGGCTCAAGAGGGCCTTCAGACAGTCCAAGAGGGCCCACAGAGGGGCCCAAGAAAGGCTCCAGACGGGGACCACGAACCTAAAATTCTAGCCTTCCGCCCCAAAAGGCGCCAAGGAGGCCCCAAGAGGCCTCCAAGAGGCTCCAAGAAGCCCCCAAGAGGCCCCCAACAAGCCCAAAAAAAGCCCCAAGCTGCCCCAAAACAGCTCCCCAGAAGCCTCCAAACTGCCTCCCGCAGGCCCCCGAGAGGATTCTCACGACGACGGCGCCAGAGGCTCCCACAACGGTCAACGAAGCCCCCAAGATGGCCCCAAAAAGGTGCCCAGCCTACGCCGTCGAGTCTGTCGCCGCCATTGTCGTCCTCGTCGTGTTCTCCTGCTCCTTCTCATCCTCCTCTTCCGCCCCCTCCTCCCGTCTCCCCTCTCAGCTTTCTGTCTCGTATTCCCTCCACTGGCTCACTTTTCACCTTCTCCGCCTTTGGCTGCTCCCCCATCCTCCCTCCTCCACGTCCCCCTTATCCATCCCGTCCCCAGCGGTCAGATTCCTCGCAACTTCCGTGCCTTGTCGCAATGCTCGTCACTTGGTTCCGCCGGGCGTTTCGGAGGGTCTCTCCGCGGCGCTCGTCCCGCTTTAAAACACTTCGCCCCAGAACGGCTCCCAAGAGGCTTCGAAACTGTCCCACGAGAAGCCCCCCAAGAGATCCCGTTACACACGCAAGAAAGCTCTAACCCATGACCCAGAGGCCCATCTCAGTGTCCCCTCCTCCCCCTCCTTCTCCTCCACTTCCTCCTCGTCCCCCTCCTCCTTTTCCTGTCCGCTTCACCTCATCCTCTTCGATGTTTCTCCCCGCCATCCTCCGCCACCCCCCCCATCCTCTTCTCCCCCTCCTCCTTTTCCTCCCCAGTACGCGCGTCCGATTGGACATCATTTGCATGTCTTGCATTTCAGGGTGCCCTTCTTTGCGTCGCAGTGTGAACGCGACGTCGTCCCGCATTGCCGTCCAGGGCCCAGAGGCTCCCAAGACGTCCCCAAAAGGGCGCCAAGACGACCCACGAGGCGCCCAAGTCCATGGGCTCGCTCCGGAGCTCCAAAACGACCCCTGAGACCTCCCAAGAAGGCCCACAGGCAATCCAAGAGGACCCCGACGCGCCAGAGAAAGGAAGAAGAACCAAACAAAAAAATGATCGACCAAGATGACATCCAGACCACTCATGAACCCCTCCGGCCGCCTCACAGAGCCTCCAACAGAGCCCCTCCCAAAACCGGCGATCGCCCCAGAAAAAAAAACAAGGGGTCGGCGGATGTGGCGTAAGCTTGAAGAATCTGAACGTAGGCGCCCGCGCTCGAGGAGAGCCCGAACTCCTCGCTCCCCCCTCCCTCCCTCCCTCCCTCCATCCCTCCGCGTCCTCCTCCTCCACCCTCTCCTCCCTCCTCCTCCTCCTCCTCCTCCTCCTCCTCCTCCTCCTCCTCCTCCTCCTCCTCCTCCTCCTCCTCCTCCTCCTCCTCCTCCTCCTCCTCCTCCTCCTCCTCCTCCTCCTCCTCCTCCTCCTCCTCCTCCTCCTCCTCCATCCATCCGCGCTCGTCCAGCATCGGTCTGGGCTCCATGCTCGCACACAGGAGCCGGCCTTGCCCTGCCCGGCGCGCCGGCGCAGGCGTGCCCAGGCATGCAGCAGCGGGGGGTTCCTCGTGCTCCCGGAGCTCGCCGTGGGCCCTCTCGGCGTTTTCCTCGCTGCGGGCCGCCTCGTGGCGCCTCTCGGGGGGGGCGGATGATCAGCATCCCAGAATACCCCTAATCCTAAGTCGGGCGTGTCCCCCTAGAGGGGGATTTTGAGCGGAAAACAGAAAATACTCCAAAAATGCCCCCCCAGATATTAAAAAAATACAGAAATCGTCCCCAGACTATTTTTGGACTATTTTTGAAAATTCCCCCTGTAGAGGGACATGCCCGACTTAACCCTAATCTTTGAGGGGGCCCGGCTGCAACGCGCAAGGCCGAAAAGGAGCTCCACGGGCCCAAGCGATGCTCTGGGCCCGTGGAGCGTTGTTTTTTGTGGCCCTGCGCGTGCGGGCTTTTGGCCATGCGCGTCAGGGTTTGGGCCTCGTGCGTCTGGGTTTCTGGCCCGTGGAGCTCCCAGGGCCCAAAGCCTTAACGGACGGGTCGTATCGGGCGGGCGGAACATTAAGTGTGGAGCGCGCTCGACCGAGAGCGCGCTCGACCGAACGCGCGCGAACCCTGACGGACGGGTCGGGTCGGGCGGGCGGACCTTGGCGGGCGGGTCGGGTCGGGTCGGGAGTGCGGGCCCTAACGGGCGGGTCGGGCCGGGCGGGCGGGACATTAAAATGTGGGGCACGCTCGACCGAGCACGCGCGAACCCTAACGGGCGGGTCGGATCGGGCGGGCGGACCCTGGCGGGCGGGTCGGGTCGGGTCGGGTCGAGCGGGGGGACCTAACGGGCAGGTCGGATCGGGCGGGCGGGACATTAACTTGTGGGGCATGCTCGACCGAGCACGCGCGAACCCTAACGGGCGGGTCGGGTCGGGCGGGCGGACCCTAGCGGGCGGGTCGGGTCGTTTCGGGCGGGCGGGCCCTAACGGGCGGGTCGTGTCGGGCGGGCGCAGCATTAAAGCGTGGAGCGCGCTCGACCGAGCACGCGCGAACCCTAGCGGGCCGGTCGGGTCTGTCGGTCGGACCCTAGCAGCCGGGCTGGGTCGGGTCGGGCGGGCGGGCCCTAACAAGCTGGTCGGGTAGGGCGGGCGGGGCATGAAAGCGTGGGGCGCGCGCGACCGGGCACGCGCGGACCCTAGCGGGCGGGCCGGGTCGGGTCGGGCAGGCGGACTCTAGCGGGCGGGTCGGGCGGGCGGACCATAATAGGCGGGTCATGTCTGGCGGGCAGAACGTTGAAGTGTAAAGCGCGCTCGACCGAGCACGCGCGAACCCTAGCGGGCGGGTCGGGTCGGGCGGGCGGGCCCTAGCGGGCGGGTCGGTTCGGGTGGGGCGGGCGGACCCGAACGGGCGGGTCGGTCGGGCGGGACATTCAAGTGTGGGCCATGCTCGACCGAGCACGCGCGAACCCTAGCGGGCGGGTCGGGACGGGCGGGCGGACGCTGGCGGGCGGGTCGGTTCAGTTCGGGCGGGCGGGCCCTAACAGGCGGGTCGGGTCGGGCGGGCGGGGCATTAAGTGTGGGGCGCGCTCGACATCGAGATCGCGAAGACCCTAGCGGGCGGGTCGTGTTTGTCGGTCGGACCCTAGCGGACGGGCTGGGTCGGTTCGGGCGGGCAAGCCCTACAGGGCGGGTCGGGTCTGGCGGGCAGGGGAACATTAAAATGTGAGGCTCGGGTCGGGTCGGGCGGGCGGGCCCTAACGGCTTGGTTGGCGTTAAAAATGGCCTGGGCATTTTTTTCACATTTCCAACTTTCCGCTCTTGGAGAGCTGGAAATGGTAAAAAAGAAACATTGTTTCTCATTTGCTGGTTCATTTTTTTGTCATGTTGTGCTGCCTCTGCGAGGCCGCCTTTCTGTCTCATGTCCTGGCGCTCCTCTTGTACCCCTACTATTAGGACGACGACAACGACGCCGACGATGACGATGCCGACGAAGACGTCGACGACTACTTCTACTACTGCTACTGTTACTGCTACTGCTACTACTATTATTGCTACTACGACGACTACTACGACGACGACTACTACTAGTATTACGACACCTACTACTATTATTACTACTACTACTACTACTACTACTACTACAACTACTGCTACTACTACTACTACTACTACCACTACTACTACTACTACTACTACTACTACTACTACTACTACTACTACTACTACTACTACCTACACTACTACTACTACTACTACTACTACTACTACTACTACTACTACTACTACTACTACTACTACTACTACTATACTACTACTACTACTACTAATACTACTACTACTACTACTACTACTACTACTACTACTACTACTACTACTACTACTACTACTACTACTACTACTACTACTAGTACTAGTACTACTACTACTACTACTACTACTACTACTACTACTACTACTACTACTACTACTACTACTACTACTACTACTACTACTACTACTACTACTACTACTACTACTACTACTACTACTACTACTACTACTACTACTACTACTACTACTACTACTACTACTACTACTACTACTACTACTACTACTACTACTACTACTACTACTACTACTACTGGAGGCGACGTTTTTGATCTCGAAGTGGATTTTCATGAACTCCATGATGGCCTGGCGGCTCAGGCATTGCGCGGACACCATCGCTGAGTCGTGGCGTCGCTGGCGCGCCCCAGCCCTTGACTTGATCCAGTAGCTGCGCGGACAGGGGAACGGCGGGAGCCCAGAACCGGAGTTCGTACTCAGAGTTAAAAATGGTAAGAAAATGTATTGGAAATTGTAAAACCATTGTCAAAATCAGGCCCAGAGGCCCCCTGGCCGTTTGGGGAAGCTCTGCTGGCTGCTTTCTGGTGGCTGCTCTCACTGCGCGCGCAGCCACTGGATCAAGCCAGCCGCTGGAGCTCGGCAAAGGGCTGGGCGCAAACCAAGTAGTAGTAGTAGTAGTAGTAGTAGTAGTAGTAGTAGTAGTAGTAGTAGTAGTAGTAGTAGTAGTAGTAGTAGTAGTAGTAGTAGTAGTAGTAGTAGTAGTAGTAGTAGTAGTAGTAGTAGTAGTAGTAGTAATAGTAGTAGCAGCAGTAGTAGTAGTAGTAGTAGTGGTAGTAGTGGTAGTAGTAGTAGTAGTAGTAGTAGTAGTAGTAGTAGTAGTAGTAGTAGTAGTAGTAGTAGTAGTAGTACTCGTACGGTAGAGATCTGACCTGGAAATGACAAAACATGATCCGGAAATGCAATAAAAATGATTATTTGTTCTAGCATTTCCAATTTTTGTGTTGAGATCTAAAAATGGTAGAAAAATGATGTTCAATATGCCGAGCTGGAAATGGTGAAAAAATGCCGAGACCATTTTGAACGCCAACCAAGCCTAACGGGCGAGTCGGGTCGGCCTGGCGAGCGGGTCGGGTCGGGTCGGGCGGACGGGCCTTAACGGGCGGGTCGGATCGGGCGGGCGTGAACAAATTGTAGGCCACGCTCGACCGAACGCGCGCGAACCCTAGCGGGCGGTTCGGGCGGGCGGACCTTAACGAACGGGTCGGGTCGGGTCGGGCGGGCGTGGCATTAAAGCGTGGGGCGCGCGCGACCGAGCACGCGCGAACCCTAACGGGCGGGCCGGGTCGGGTCGGGCAGGCGGACCCTGGCGGGCGGGTCGGGTCGGGCGGACCCTAACAGGCGGGCCAGGTCTGGCGGGCGGGACATGAAAGTGTGAGGCGCGCTCGACCGAGCACGCGCGAACCCTAACGGGCGGGTCGTGTCGGGCGGGCGGGCCCTAGCGGGCGGGCTGGGTCGGGTCGGACGGGCGGGACATTAAAGTGTGGGGGGCGCGCTCGACATTGAGATCGCGCAGACCCTAGCGGGCGGGTCGGGTTTGTCGGTCGGACCCTAGCGGACGGGCTGGGACGGTTCGGGCGGGCGAGCCCTACAGGGCGGGTCGGGTCGGGCGGGCGTGATATTCAAGTGTATGGGCCGCGCTCGACCGCTCACGCGCGAACCTCAGCTTGTCGGGTCGGTTCGGACTGGCGGGCCCTAACGCGCGGGTCGGGTCGGGTCGGGTGGTTTGGCCTTTCGGGCTTTTTGGGGGGCACTGCCGGGAGCGCGCGCGGGGGGGTGTTCCATTGCTCCTGCGGCGAAGCCCACAGAAGAACCGTGACCTGGGTTCTGGCCTGTGGAGCTCCCGGGGCCCAGAGGAAGAATCGCGACCTGGGATTTGCCCTGTGGAGCTTTTATTTTGGCCTTGCGCGTTGTGGTCCTGTGGCGCGGCCCACGGGTTCTGGCCTGCGGAACTCGCAGGGCCCGAAGAAGAATCGCGACCTGGGCTGTGGCCTGTGGGGCTCCTGGGGCCCCAAGGGAAGAACTCGTGACCTGGGTTTGGGACTGTGGAGCTTTTTGTTTCAGCCCTGCGCGTCGGGCCCACGGGCCCTGCCGGGAGCGCGCGCGAGGGGGTGTTTCGCTGCTCCTGTGGCGAAGACCCGGGTTCTGGCTTGCGGTTATTTGTTGCCCTTGCGCGTCGGGCCCCCGGGGCCCTGCCGGGAGCGCGCGCGGGAGGCTGCTCCGCTGCTCCGCTGCTCCCGCGGCGCGACCCACGGGTTAACTGGCCTGTGGAGTGGCCCACAGAAGAATCGAAGCCTGGGCTCTGGCCTGTGGAGCTCCCGGGGCCCAACGGAAGAATCGTGACCTGGATTTGGGCTCTTCTTCTCCCCGGAGCAGGTGGCACCGCCGTCCCTCCTCGACCCTCGCCCTCGCCGGGTACTGTGCAGGCAGGCGAAGGTAAAGGAGAGGCGAACGCGACCTGTCGCGAATATGGGAGCCCGCGGCGCCCGGGTCCCTCGGGGGCCTACAAGCGATGACAACTGCGCAGGCAAAGGCAACGCAGAGGTTAACGCGACATGTCGCGAATGTGGGAGCCGGCGGCGCCCGCGTCCCTAGTCGACCCCCACCGGGGGCCTTAGTACTACAAGTGATGACGACTGTGCAGCCAAAAGTAAAGGAGAGGCGAACTCGACATGCCGCGAATGCGGGCCTGGAGACGGCGCCGTCACACGCATGCTGTCGGCCGATCATATGATATACCGTAGCACCCCGCATTTGCGGATAAGA